ACCTGCCAACCAAACACAAACTTGAAATAACTCAACCAACCTATGGCAGTACACACAAAACAATATCACTGGTGCAAAAATCATCGAACATCCAATTTTGAAGTAGCCACTACCAGTATGTCAGTAACACATCACCCAACAATGGGTCAGCATTGATCCCCATCGATCCCTTGGGTCTCAAGGCAGTTTGCCACTGGTCATTTGGATGGTTCACTTGGCCAGAGTCCAATGACCACTGAAGCAAGCATCTAACAATAGCCGGCCTTGTTCCAACACAAACACATTACAAGTGCTATAGACCATAATGAGACAGGTATAGGCCCTGTACAGGTGAATTCCTGGAAATGCCCTTCAATGTCCTGGTGCACACAGGCTCCTTGTCTGTATACATACCAGCTTTAATCATTATCCCGTAGATTTCACAACAGACTTTATTCACAAGGAAGCCATTTCTGATCAGGAGTGTTCCCTGAATCTATTTCACGTTTGTAGACTGTAGAATGGGATGGTGCCAGTGACCACCCTTTCAAGTTGACGTTTTTCATACATGTACATGTGTAAGCTCAAACATTTTAATAAAAATATGTTTAATCATCAGTTTTCAATTATTTCTCCGAGTACACAGGAATTAACTTATGGTGTAATTTTATTTTACTGCTTCCATTTCTACTCTTTCATTTTCAAAATGAAATGTTTGATGTGACTGACTCCGATAATAAAGTCTACTGCTTGCCCTAAGGGCCATTTGATTTACAATGTACATGTACCGTATCCCGACAGAACCACGACCCACTTCTGAGGAAGGGTGGGATGGGGGTGGGGTGGGGTAGGATGGGGGTGGGGTGGGGTTGGGGGTTAAGTGGGACATTTTGGTTCCAAAACTTGTGGTTGTAGGTATAGCTTATCTATTCTTCATAAAAAAGTACCAGTACTTTGGGGAAGGAGATTGGAATGTTAATTCACTCCTTCCACACAGGTACATGTACATGTACTGATACATGTACATCCTGTGTCCATAACTGCAGGCTTTACTCTCCCGAGGCAAGCTCTACTTTACCAAGACAGCCTGAGCAGGTACATGTACATGTTTGATCAGCAACAGTGCGACCAGTGAGTCAATACGAACAAAATCGACTGGTTTTTAACTTCTGTTGTTGTTTGTGGGCCAGACCTTATTTGGGCTCATTTGTCACCTTGGTTCTGAGAATTCATCGCCAATACTTCCATATGCTACATGTACATGTAGTATATATGTGTACCGTTACATGTTCATGTGCAAGTTCAAATTCAGGTTTTCTGGGTATAGCACAAGGATATATCAGATTACTCCCTAATAGAGTAGCGAAGTGTGACGTCACTGTAAAACAGAACGTGCAGCACAACGGAATGGATTACGGTACGCGTGCGTGTTGGTTCATGCACTGGTTCTAGTACAAATGCCTTTTACACACATACCAATTGTGCAGGTGACGTATTCGCTCCGGTACTCTGTAAGTACACAAACAATTACGTTCATGCATTCCCGTAATATGCATGTTTACTAGTACATACATGTAAATGCCAGAAAAAGACGTGCATTTACACATATTACCACATGAAAACGTCTAGGGAACAGTTCTACAGCCACTATACCAGCACTGCAGGAGAATGACCAATGACCAATGACCTATGGTACATGTACATGAAGAAGAAGCCAACACACAATTTCAGCTTTTCATGCACATTGCCCATGATCCGCCACGTCTGGAACACGTACAAGTGCAGGTGCGTAACTTCCCAAAGAACGTTTCCGTGTGGCATAAACTTGGTTCTCAATGTGTTGACAGCATTTGTGTTTCAAATACACCTGACCCGATGGCCCATGTATCACGGGATGTCCAATAAGTTATCCCGTACAGCAACACCGGTACATGTATGACTGAAAGCAGATTTGTGGCAGGAGCCAAGTTTCCATATCCGCATATAATGCAAACTGGCCAGATTAAATGAAGTCATTTTAATTTTGTGGCTAGTCTGGTTAGGGTATGATCAGCATGTACGCGGCACACCAACCGCACCTACTCACAGGAAGAGCTTATGATAAAAATGATCCCTCTACCATCACCGATAGAGTGTTATCTTGACAATAAATAAGGAACACCTGCACACTGGTTAAACGGTCAACTAGAAATATATAAACTCACTGGTGACTAAATTCAGCCAACTTGTTACAGCGACAAGCACATGTGCATGTCCTGGTACCAATGGCTGAGTTCGGGCGGCTTGTTCCGGTATGTTCACCAACAGCTCGATTTGTTGTTCGTGGGTCGGCCGCTCGAACGCCGGGAACAAACAACCCGTTATTGCAAGCAACATGCAACATGGCGGCATCTATATGTTATTCGAGAGTTACATGTAAGGTTTGGATGGGCTGTATTCTTTTCTATATAAACAGGAACATTCATTTCTGTGTTACGGAAAATAATTAATGTTAATTTTGCAAAACTTCCCATTGTCTACATGGTCTATGGATTTGGGAGCCCTCTCTCTACATGTACTTTTTGCAGCTGTTCAAAAATCAAAANCCTGTTCCGAGAACAGTGTTCTTAAGTCGTGTTCCCGCTGTTCGAGCGCGAGAACAAGAAACCCATGTCAAGAACAGGCCGCCCGAACTCGACCATAGGGTCAATAGGAGACGATCAGTGGAATTGGCCAGTTGGAAAATGGATTCTGTTCGACACAAAGTTTCTCCATTCAAAATGGCCATTGTACCATGTAAAATTAGACCTTTTTTTGGCTATGGCTTCCCAAGTTTGGAGAACAGTTTGAAACACCACACTAGTACATGTAGGCTTGTAAAAGTGTGAAACTTCCGTACACTTGAAACCATGACTCCAAATTGAACAAATACAAGGCAGAGCAAAACATGGTGTATTCATTCAACATTAGACACGCGGAAAAAAAATCTCTGCAAGGGTTCGTTAACGTCTGACGAATGCTTTGTCCTTCTGCTCATTCAAATGCTGTCAGGCACAATGCAGAGGCAAAAAATGCATTGTACCTGTATTTGTCTGCTTTCATGGCAACACACAGAACATGTGGAACAAAGACTAACAGATTGCCATGGTTTTTCCGGTTTATTTCAAACTGAAGGTTCCAAGTTCTTTTCACAGTGATTTATTATTGAAGACCTACGGTATTTCACCTTTCATTCTGTGCACATGCTCTGAAACAGAACCAAACAAAAGACCAGCAGGCCTTGATCAATATTATTAAGTCTAAAAGCTCACTGTGTTGTGAACATGCTACAAAATATGATGAGGTCCCTTATATTAGAAACACTGTCTCTCGTCCAGTTCATTAAGTTAAAATTGGCTTGGTAAAAAACATGAAAATTAAACATGAAAATTTCTTCCAATGTTTTATTTATCATTCTACAAGGTGAGAGTGCTAAAATGACACTGTAAAGGGCGGTTTATCCTTACTCCAAATAAAGTTTTTGACTAACAAATAAATGATTAAGTTACCTCTTACCAAGTGCTACATGGCAACATATGTTTCCTATTCACAGTATTCAGAAAAAACTCAACAGAGCGACACAGCAGGCCAAAGATCTCCTGTGCAAAGGGCAGATATTCACCAATGGTGCTTTTCCAAGAACACTGGGACACTCCACGGAGACTGCCATCAATAACAATGACATTTGATATCATCGAGAAGTGCTGCTTTTCCAAGTTTCAACAAAAAAAGTTAAAATCTAAGAAAGTGTTACGGTAACGGAGTAAGCAGCAAGTTTAATTCTGGTCTCAGTGGGAAACTTTGTTCACTGAAAACGCTATGGATACTCTACACTTGACATGTACATGTATGTGTGTAAATATCCCACTAGTAGTAGGTTTGCAGACTTTCCACGTTGACAAAGACAGCACACCAAGCAGAGCAAGCCCCACTGGGCTAAGGATTCTGCGAACTCAGAGAACCCCATCTCACCCATATGGTATAAATGCTTGGCCTTAGAAGAACAGGGACCACTTCCGAAAAGCAGGAACTGCAGCCGGAAAACACATTGCATGACACTAAACTACAGAGTACAAGAGGAAAACGCCACTCACCTATAAACATGCACGGTGGATGTGGCACGGACTTGTATGGAAAGCAGTGTTTCAAGGAAATATACCACTCCGACTAGATAATAGTTTACATGGGCATGGCATGGATTATTGAACATATATGGTACATAATTCTCCGATAGTACATGTACATACATGCACATACATGTACATGCGGCATTATACCCTAACAGGGATCCCCCTAAATGTCAGTGCAATTTTTTGGCATGAGGGAGTTTGATAACAGATTTCAGACTCTCTTGCACATAGTGAGACATCACGCTAGCAGACAGTGTATTGTTTTTCCTTGTTCACTTCTAAATTTTTCATATTCACAGGAATCTTTTGTAAACTTCAACTTAAAGTGTACAAGAAAAAGAACATGCACAATGTGCAGTACAAGCACACATGTACTGTACATGTACGTCATGACCACACATTCACACGCATGAAATACAGTTTTGGTGCATTTGACGTTAGTGTGCCAGGTATAAGTTGCTTGATGATGAACTGCAATAACCATAGTACATGTACATGTTGTAATGGCATACTTCACTTTACATGAACATAAAAAGGACTCAAATTACTGAAACTTCTTCAAAAAGGATTAAAAATGAATTCACTATCAATATGCTGCCGATGAGTTGAAAGGAGTTTACTACATGTGTCGACTTCTCAGGTCAACTGACACGGTTTGTAATACAGTAAATTTTGGTTACATTCTGAGTGTGTACAAATGTAACTCTCTTTCACACTCGTTATATATGTACATGTACAGTACATACATGTACATGTATATGTTCGGACAACTTTCATCTTCCCAGCACAACTAACCTTATTCAACAAAAAATGGCTGTCTTATCCATTGCACTTGTCTACATTGCTCTAATCAGCACCACAGAATGTACGTACTTGAACTTGATGGGCCGACGTGATTCAGAAAATAAGAACTGGCGAGCTGCTGCGTGATACAGATCTCGGACGGCCAGATGTATTTATAAACTCCTGAGCTGGCAGAGTTACTATCTTGAGTGCCGACAAGGAGACAAGATATCATTTACCACTTGGAGTGAGGGGCTGTCAACATTGGTACGTTGTCTGGCTCTTGGATGTCCTCATGTGCTCCATTCCAGCATGTTATCACCGTGTTCCCGGGCAAGTTTCCTTTGCTCTGCCTAGCAGTTGTACACACAGCAGTAGTAAATGCACAACTGCAGTGAATGCAGCAAATGCTACGGAGTTCCTAAAAAACAGTGAGTGTGTGTGTGTACCCGACTGTACTATGCTATTTGTTACACACTCTACATGTACATGTACATTATATGCATGCGTCTCACGGAAACTGTGCTGCTGCATGAATGCAATCAGCTCTCTTGTGTGCAACACAGTAATCCAGTGAGTGCCCGAGTCACACGCAATGATGTCAAACACCCGGCTACCTCATGAATAATTCATGGCGGCGGGCACCACCGTGCACTAGCTGCATTCATCCTATCCAGGGAGCCAAATGTCAGGCTTGTTGGTTGGTGGCGGGTTGTATGTACCTGTATGCATGCTCTCTTGACTCACTGACCAATGTACGTCAAAGCATGGCTGGCCACTGATTCAGTAGCTACTGTACTGTCTGGAGAGACACCATGAGTTGTGAAAACTTGCCACAAGCTGAGTCCTCATGCTTACAGTAATCACCTGAATACGTACAATCTACTTTTAGGTGTACTTATACACTTCTAAAATACGCTCCAAGGTATACATATATGTACATGTACAAGTTTGTCATTGTTCAGTAATTCATAAGTGAACATGTCTGCATACAGCTATTTGAGTGTTCATGGGGGAGGGGTGTAGTACCCAGTTCTTGTCACCCCCTTCGTTTTACAGTGGAACATCCCAAAGCACAAGATTATATGGTGCAAAGCATGTGCCTATGTACATGTACATGTATGTACTGGTACATGTACAGTTTTTATTGTATTGTACATTTGTACATGAAGCATCAAGAGCCTGCATAGGAAACTGATGATTTTCACTGAAGTCTTCTGCAAGGGTCAGTGATTCTGAAATGTGACACGGAGTGCGTGTATGTGATATTTGACTAGTAACGGAACTGCAACCAATTTCCTGAAAACTGTGAGCAGTGAAGCATCATCCATACACAGTGCGCTGCCCTGCACTGTATGCCCAAGGATTATCCACACACATGCAGGTCTTCACACTAAAAAGTACTATAATTGTCGTACACACGCATTGTGTGTACATGTTCAATGAGTTAAATCTTTTTCATTCATCTGTAATCCAGTGCACTGCCTTCAATCGCCAAGTTTCATACAGTCGGTCCTGATCAAAAGCTAAACAAAATTCAGTGATGTTCAACAGGCATAACGTTTTTTTCTTTGGGGGGGCTGCACTGCATTATGCACTTCATGCCAGGGGGGTAGACTTTTCCAGAAAGCAACAATCACCCTTCTGATGACAGGTTTTGTAGGTGTTGGGCGCAAACAGTCAATCTACGTAATTACTCAATCTTGCTATACAATATGTATTGGTAGGTTAGTTCATGTAAATACTAATGCATTTTCTTGCTACCGTAATGTTGTGGAAGACAGTTTTGTAAAAAAGACATGCAATGTTTTAAAAAGAGACATTCAGTTGGAGATTTCATACGGGATTGACTGATGATGTAACACAATCATGACAATTGCATGAATGTGCTATATATTGTAACTAGACGGATCGCGCCCAAGTACAACATACATGTACTTGCTCTTCCCATCTAGCAAGGAGTAACAAAAGTAACTTCACAAAGTTGGAGATTATTGCTCAAGCAGCCATTCGGACCCAAGCCCTCCTATTTGTCAGCAGAGACAATATAATGAATGGTAATACCCATGCTTGGAAGAGATGCACATGGTGAGCAAAGTGAAAACAATTACACACATGTGGGATACAATGGCCAGCACTGCCACCGCCAGACCAAAGTAAATAGATGGAGAGAGGTACATAAACCACCAAATTGCCAACTGACCACACTGAGAGTGTAGCCAGGTATCCTACATGTACCCCTTGGTATCTGGGGCTTGTATGTACAATGCAGATGGTTTTCAGGGACAAGATACTTGCACACACAAGGCACAAGTCCGTCAATGCAGAACCTCATAAACTTTATCAAGCTGTTTGGACTGTTAGATGAATATTTTCTGGTTTTCCTCAGATATCACGTCGCGTTGAAGTGAAAGCAGAGGTACTTTGCTCACAAATAGTTTTGTGGAAGGAACCACCTTTTGTGTTTAAATACGGAATCAGGAATCCCATCACTTAAACAAACTCCGGACTGCTATTTTTAGCAGGTCACACTCTGCCCATCACTCGCCTGACCCGAGCATGCCAACCTGATGCTGATAGCAATGACCAAGACTATGTAGCTGATAACAAGCACCAACTGTGATTTCTGTTGGTGCCCAGAGATCATCCGACTAAATGACCGAGGTTTGCGTGCCCCAGGACTGACTAATGCTTGCAAATTGTTGGCAGTTTTTTGGTTTTTTTTGCTCTTTAACCCGGAGATCACTTACATAAATGAAGATATCAGCAGTAATTAAAAAGAAGAAAAAAACTGCATACATGGACACGTATGTAGGCCCTCAGTCACGGCATATGTGATACGTGACTGTATCCCACAAAACGGGTCTTCAACAGAGGCCACTTGGTTTTTTTTATTTTGGGGGGGGGTTTTATTGCTTAAATATTACTTGGAGCATAATGAAATCTTTGATTTGGTGTGTCTCTTAGTTGGCCATCCCGATGAACATTGAGGTGATATAAAATGTCCAGTAAACACAGCTCTTCTACTGGTACTCTAGTTGTTATCTATAGACTCATAAAAAAGGGACCTGAATTCGGATCACAAATGCAATACGTCAAGACTACGAGTGACAACTAAAAAAGGTAAAAGACAACAGATTGGCATTTGCCGTTACCGGCAAACACATCATCCACGTACACGTCTAGACCAACCATTCTGTCAGTACATATACTCGTCTGTGTAGGCCTTTCTTACGTAACACTGCCCAACAAGCAGGGTGAAGTTTACTGTGAACAAAATCACAGAGCTGTCTAAAATTAAAGCCCCAAAAGTACTGGTACATTGCGTATACATTTACTGCTGACATCATTTCCCACATACACCTGTTTGATCAAGTGATAATCCACAGCCATCATCCATATACATGCAACTCTGAAGGTCTACCCTTGTATTACCATACACAATTTCACAGGACCCACACGATTTGGCCATCGATGGTGATTAATCCTTTTGACATTTCTCTCCAGCACGGCTTCAGAAGCCACAAGATCTCCACTGAGAGAGCTTCCTTTTTTCCCTCCTGAGACACCCACGACCATCAGTGCATGTACAGTGTAGCTCTCCCATGGGTAACAAGTCCCCTCGGCCTGTGATTTTCACTCAGTGGGGATGCGTCAACCACAGGCATACAGTTTTCTCAACACAGCGGGAAAGATCAGCAATTAAAACAGAACCAGTTGCTTCTGATTTGCTGATACAGTAGTTACAGGTACCGGTACATCTACTGAATGATGACGTCTAATGATATGTCTACTGAAATTAGTATCCTCCCATTTCTGATGCATAAATAACTGCTTAACTGAGCAGGTTTTCATACCCTGAATTCACAGTTTTTTGCTACTACGCTACAAATTATGAACTGAACCATCTAAAATATATTTTCCTAAATACCATACCGTGCCATACATCTTTATAATAATGTACATGTCAGTGCTTGAAATTGCTCCCCTGATGGACCAGGAAACTTTGTGTAAAACTATTATAAGTGCCTGAATCATTCAAAGACAATGCACAAATTGTTGTTTGAATCATCAAGAGGGGTGGAGTTTGGGTTGGGCAGGTACCGGTAACACTGCTTATGTACACAAGTGCAAAGTTGGTTAGTGAAACATGGTCTGAAATCAGCCTTTAGAATTTGAAAAAAAAAAAGTGGAGTTGTGTTAAGAAGGAATACATTGTGGTACACATGAAAATGTACATGTACGGTACATGTAGGTCTCAACACTGACAAAGACAGCCTTTTCTTCTGTGTCTGGTTCCCAACCTTGTTGTTTGGAGACCGCCATGGGGTGTTTATAGAAGCTCTGGTCAAGCAGGCAACACAGCAAGGTGGAACCATATTGGGTAACCAATCAAGGCCTGGCGTTGGTAAAAACGCAACAGGTTCCTAGGATAATGGAATTCATTTGATACACCCCCAAAACCAAAAACTGGTATGGTGATGACTTTTAGATGAAGGGCCGAAAAACCTGACTTACATGTGAATTATTTCAGTGTCTTTAAAAGCACTTCGGCAAAGCAACCCCTCTTCACTTTAGTACTACACACCGGTACATGTATGGATCAATTAAAATCTCCATCGATTTTGGGATGGTAACAACACGGCAAGTTTACATGCACTTTTAAAAATTCCAAATTTGACAGGTTGGGGCTCTTCTACCGAGTACACTGTACGAGGAGGGTTTTACAGTATGTAAATCTGAGAGTGTACACTAAACTCATGTCAGCACTCATGTCTTTTTATCAGGTGCAAATCGGCACATTGTATTACTACATTCAGTATGTTGTACATATACACTGTACAAGTCAAAAAAATGTACACAAAATCGCTGATGGAACAACTTCCAAAACAATCTGCAAGAAGGGGTAAAGTACTTGGGATTTCTGGACAGCCTTTGTCAAAGCTCTATATGCACGCAAACAACCCAATGACAAACACAGGAACAATCTTATCGTTAATCCCATCAGTTGCACATTCATTCGCATATAACAGAAGGCTGCTGGGGATAAACCTGATCACAGCTGTAGGCAAATAAATGTTTACAGTTTACAGTGGAAGTGATACAGTCCCAATTACTTGCGCTTGGCAGAACGAAAACAGCTCTGCCTGATTGTAGAGATTAAATGGCCATTCAGACAGCTCCGCGCAATCAGAAAAAAAGGGGGGGTTCCAGGATGGGATTTAATTGGTACATGTACATGCACTTTGACAAATGCATCAAATGCAGAAACTACAGAAATCTCCAACTTCTAATCTCACTGATAAGCCAGCACAGGTACTGTACAGATACCACCACCAGTACTTTGCGCAATATACCCGGTACATGTATGTTGTGTCCTTCAAAGCATTTCAGGCAACGTTGCAACCAGTAGGCCCACTGTACACACGTGTACATGTACGTACATACTCGTACATGTACATGTCCACAGATGCAAGCTGCGCAAAAACGGGTTGAATCTCCTTACACTTCACAATGTTTGTATACAGTGTATATGCATACTTATAGATCCAACACTGTATGCACATTCTGTAAACGATATTCTCAGAATCCACACAACTTATCTACACGAACGTAACTGCAACTGAACATTTGTAGACAACAGCAACTTCTTTTTCAGATTTGTGTTCGGACTCTATTGCTGAAAAGTGACA